ACCAACCCGATTTACAATATATTTCTCCTGACTTTTTCTTCTTAAATTTCGCATGATTTTCATGGAACTTGGTTTAATACTTTTATGAACAAAAAAAAAGGGGGGGGGGGATTTTGGACGTCTGAAAGCAAATGAATTTTCTCTAGAATATATGTAAAACAAAATCTTGTGAATCAGATAACTTCTGCTTTGTAAGTGAGAGCATATACGTATGCAGAAACGTTCTCTAGTTCTCCAATAAGCATCGAGCTCCTCTGCGTGTCATCTGGCATATATTAGCCAGTGAGGACAAAGCAAGCTGTTATTTAGATGTTCTTTAGTTATTTCGTTCATTTTGTCCTGAGTTGTGTAAGTGCACGTGCCATTAAGAAAAAGTTTTAGAAATTATCGTGTTTTGTTATGTGTGCGAGAAAGGTGAAATATTCGTGTCCTTTTCAAAAATCGTACTCAGTTGACTTTCCTTCCATTATTTCCTCAAGGAAATTAAATAAATTTGTGATGTATAACGCCTGTCGTTGCGATTTTTCGATTTCACAGGTTGGAAGGGCGATGTTTTCAAACATGTGGCGTACACAAAAACACAAGGACAACATGAGTTGTTTTGGGGGGGATTAAATTTATTTTCGGAAAAAAAGGACCAAAAAGTTAATGCAGAATGTCTGTTCTCTGCCTTTTTACTGAAGTACAACTTGCCACTTAATGCGTCGGATCACGCTGCACATTTACTTAGAAAAACGTTTCTCGATAGTGAAATCGCTAAGAAATACTCAAGTGCAATTGTTAAAAAAATTGGTTTGAAAAATAAATCTTCAGTTATTGATTGCATTAAAAGAGCTCCGTTCTGCCTCTCTACGGATGGAAGCAATAATACCGATTCAAAACCGTAGCCAATTGTTGTTTCTTTTTTTAATCCGAGTCTTCAGAAATTGAGTGCAGTTTACTTTCTATTCCCACTTTAGAAGGACATTTGACAGGCTTTAATATAGCACAGCTAATTATTAAAACTTTAAAAGAAAATGAAGTCCCTCAGGATAATTGCTTAGCACTTGGTGCCGATAATGCACCAGCATTGGAAGGCTGGTGTTGCAGGCATCTTAAGAAAAGAAAATTCAGATTTGCAGATTATGAGATGCACCTGTCACCTCTTAAATTTAGCAGCTGAAAAAGGGACAGCTTCTTTACCAATAAATGTGGATGAACACATTGTTGATATTTATTATTATCTTGAAAGGAGTTCTAAAAGAAAGGAAAAATTGAAACAGCTCCAACAGCTGCATAACAGCAGTTTACAATTAGAAAACTTGGATGAAGTTATAAAATCTGCTAGGACTGACACCCAGTGGAGTTTAATTGGAAGACTGAAAGGTGCTGATGGAATTTTAAAATATAGTGAACTGTCTAGAATTATGTTGGCCATGGCCATCTTGACAGTTCCCCATAGTAATGCAGAGTGTGAGAGGATTTTCAGTGTTGTTGCAAAACCGCGGACTAAATTTAGATCTACTATTGGTGATGGCACATAAGAAAAACGTTTATTAGCGAAAGCAGGCCTACGTGGCAATTGCTATGAACAAAATTATGAAGTTTCTTTCTTAACGAAAGCAAAATCTGGCACTTTTCATAACATTTGTACAAAAACTGCTGAAAGTGTGTTTTTTTTTAACGATGCAAGTAATAAAAATGTTCTTTTTGTATATTTTTGTGTTGCTTGCATTTAAGAATTTGTTACTGTTTAAAGTTAATTCATTATTAAAAACTATATTTGGTACTATTCGGTTTCGAGGGCCGTAAAAAATAGCCATACTATAGTTGATGCCAATGCTGCCAAAAATAATTGTGGCAAGAAGGGAAGTATAATAGTAAATAACTATTTAAGATTGATGTTTTAATTTAAATGAAAGGTTAATTTCATATAATACTTTTTTTATTATAATTTATATGAAAAAGGCTAAACATGACTGAATGGAAGCATAAGAGTAAATAACTATTTCAGATCATTATTATATTTTATATAAAAAACAGCTAAACATAACTGAGTGGATTCCTGCATCGCTGTTTTCGCAACAGAGTTATCGCTAAAGCATTATTTAATCTCGTAGGTTGTTCAAACGTAATTTTCTATAATGAATTATGCCTTTTCGTTGAAAATATTCTTGGTAAAGTGCAGAATCGCTCACTTATTTGTTTGCTGCTTTTTGCAAGGGTAAAAATAAAAACATTTTGATTTTTGTGAATTTTCTTTTACTTTTAAGTGAAAATAGGTCGATGTGTACATAAAGACAAGGGTGTGCGCAGTGCCATTTTTGTGAAATTCTAGGATTTTTTTTTAAGTGAAAATAGGTCGAAGTGCACATGGATACCGAGTATGTGCAATTCTTAAAAACGCGTCAAGCAGTTCTGCACTTTACCCAAAATTCTATTGCCGAGTTTTCGTCATGGGCAATTCCTAAATTGTTAAATCCATAGGATATCAAAAAAGGATTTAAAATGAAGAAAGGATTTAAAAATTATAAACAGCTTTAGTGTAGAATTGGGTGCCCCTTCGATAGGCGACATTTAAAAAAAAATTTTCCTGATGAAACCTCACTTCTGGTTACCATGATAGTTTTAACTTTGTTTTAGCTTCCCGATTTTATTTAAATGAAATAGATTGATGTGTACATGGACATATTTAAGGCAGGAACAATGCATAGTTTGTGCAATTCTAGGATGTTTTTTAAGTAAGAACAGATTGAGTGTAATGACACAGATCTTATGCCAATTCTTTCGACTTCTTATTTTGGTTTTGTGTAGCGGCCGTCTTGAAATTGCAACTTCCTGGCGCCTGTCTTGGCGTCAAAAAAGAATCGCCAATAAACAATGGGCACCCAATTGTAAACTTTTACCAATTAAACTAGTATTTCAATGGCGTCTTAAGAATTATAGAACTATATAAACTTACGCAATCTGAAATCAGCGCGTACCCTAGATTTGGCGCACTTTTAAATGGCGGCGTTTGCTAGATTTGGCGCTTTTGCACGTACATTTTCGCTGCAATTTTTTTACGGCCCTCGAAACCGAATAGTACCCTATATTTTTATCATTTAAAAAGTCCTTTTAACATTGTGAAAAATTTCCTGATTTTTGAGTGTCATAGGTTAGCAAGTATGCAGTTATAATGGCTACTAAGTAAACCTTCATTTACTACACCAGTCAATTAACGCTCTTTTCCCCTTCACTCCAAATTGCACAGAAACTTCAAATTAATCTTATCACATTCAGCTATTCTACCATCTAAACAATGAAACCAACACACACCACAAAAGCGCTTACAAAGCATCCCATGATTCAAATTTCCCAGAATCATGCACCCGATTATGTCACAATAGGGTTTCCATAACATATAACTACTCAGGCTGCCATAAATGAAACAACAACTTCGCCATAATACAAGGGTACCTTAAAGTCTACTCTAACCCAAAAGGCTATTTTAAAGTTGCTCTTTTACAGTAAGAAATTCATCTTTATTGGTCATGTATGCACAAAAACAAAGGTAATGCTATACCTATGCTTCATAAGATTTCCTTCTGTACCAAGCATTAAATTAGGTAGGTTAGCTTTCCTTTTAATTGGAATTAGCTGCATGCTAGTACAGCAGATATTAACCTGCATTTGTAGTTTTTAAAAATTGGCTCTAAAATGTTCTGTAAAAAGTAGTTCTTTCAGTAAATATGGTGGGTTTTCTTCTGCAAAGGATCCATTGGTGGCAGTGCGTTATTTATTCACCAAGCTCACCAACAGCTAATCAGCAATGACTTTAGCGGTGCATAGTTAAGTTGCAAGATGTTTAGCATATGGAAGTAAAATAAATATGTTAACCATGACATTTTAGGTGTATAGTTAAGTTGCAAGGTATTTAGTATATGAAATCCACGATTTTAGCAGTGTACAGTCCAGTTATAAGATTTAAGGTTAATTGGAGTTAACCGATTGCACCAAATGGGATCAGGTGGAAGAAACTTGGTGAGACAACCTTGGCCTGTAACAGGCTGTGGAGCTTATGAAGAAGCAGAATAGTAAATCTGGCAGAAATCGTGCTTTTGTGCCTCTTGTGTCATTTAATATTATTGTGGCAAAGTTTTTTATTTTGGATAAATACAACTAATTTTTCCATGTTGCACTTTTTATTGTTAAGGTTGCTATGCTGTTGGATTTTATTCCAGCATTTAATATTTGGTATTATATGGTGATTTAAAAGGAGGGAAATATTTTTTGGATAGTTATATAATTTCTTTTTTAATATTTTCAATAAGAAATTGTTGCCAGATTTCCTTTTGAATATCTTCAATATAAAAGAATTGTTGCCATAAATGTGATTTAACTTAAATAATGGTTTATGGTGACTTCACAGTACACTTATAGGATCTTCACTTTGTTTTTACACTCTGATCAGTTTTTTGTGTTACATTCATAATATATATCTGTTAATTATTTAATTAAATAAAAAGGTGTGTTGCTTCACAATTTCTGTCATAATGATTGATGAAAGCTTGAATTCATATTTATTCCATCTCTTGGTCATCTAACTAAAAAAATTGTACTTTTCTCATGTCAGCACTGCCTAAAGATCTAAAGTTCCCCCCTTCCTAAAGATCTAAAGTTTGTATAGATCTTTGCATATTTTCATGCTCAAGAGAAAAATGCAACTTTTTCTGATTATTTGTATAAATTCTCTAGCATTTAAAAAATTTAACAGCTAGTGTACCATCATTAATTTATAGCTGTTGTAGGTATCTCTGACCTTATAGTTGTCAAATTATTAACCGATAATAATTTTAAAATCCTATCAAAATTGAAACAAATTGATTCTGTAAATTAGAATGACATAATTATGTATGTTAGCCTGCTAACCTCGTGAAACTTGGAATTTTGCTTCTTGTCTAAGCATGAAGATATAATTTATACAAGCTATGAGTTTATAGACATACTGAACATCTGCATGTGATCTCTTATGATTTCAGGCTCTGGTTGATGGTCCTGCTACTGGTGTAAAGAGGCAAGCAGTTAAGTTCAAGCGACTTCGTTTAACCAAGTTCAGACTAAAATTTCCTCACAGTACTTCCTCTAGAGTTGTACGAAAAGCATGGGAAGCAGAGAATATTACAGAAAAGTGGAATGAGACATCCACAGCTAAGAAAATGGCTGCTAGACAGTTGGTATGCTTATCTATATTTATTTTTTTGGTGCTTTGAAACTTATATGATTTTTAACAGTTGTTTCCCTGAGAGCAATATAGCTTAGTAATGGTACTTAATATTATTGCTACCACTTTAACACAATTTAGTGAATTTTATGGAAGAAAAGAAAGTTATTGTAAAAATTATGTATTATATATTCTACATTACATAATTATTTATTGCATACATATGTATATTAATTCCAAATGACAATCGGTAAACCTAGTAACAAATGCGCTTTTGTTTTTATAGTAAGAAATTCATAGCGATTGCTTTAAGAGAGAACTTGAAGCAATGTTCCTTTATTTAATTTGTAACAGGCTATTTCTTTTGCATTCCTTCAGGAATTTCACTTTTCTTTCTTCCATTGTAGGAAAATCCTACAACCAGAAATTTTCAAATCAAGCTTAAGACAAAAAATATTTATAATTTTTCTATAAAAGCCATTGGAACTTTTAGAATACAACAAAATGAATGTGCATGAAAATGGCAATGTTGGAAAACTGAATATTTGTCTTGCTCATGGTTGCCTGACTAACTGTAATGCTCATTGTTACCAGAGTTTGGTGCATTCTGAAGCTTTGGTCATTTTTACTAATGTGGTTGCAATAATACATGAGTACCTACTGGAAATTGTGATATTAAATTATGTTTTTGTGTTTTCCCATGTGAAAACTGCTTTTGATAAATGTATAATTTTTAAATTCAAAATTGCTAGCTGTGTGATATTTTCATAGAGTGCCAAATTGAACTTAAAACAAATATGGCTATGCTCTAATTGCCTTCTTCCCATTGTGGTGTGTAAGAAACGTGGCTTAGCCTATATTAAAATCATTATCATAGTACTAGAAATATAATTATAATTTCTAGTTTCCCATCATGGAACAGTTTATAAAGTGCTTTATATTGTGCTAGTAGTTGAACCAGAACTTTGAGTCCCAAGTTTTGCTTGTCTGGTATGATATCAAGAATGATAAACAAAAATAAAATGATAAATAATGTAAAAAAATACTAAGGATAAATTATTTAGTTACTAAGCTAAATAAGAGTCATAAATATTTCATGTGAAAGTTTAGTGTACAAATAAAAACAAGCTTATGTTCTATTATATTATAGGAAAATCCTACAAGCAGAAATTTTAAAATTGAGCTTAAGACAAAAAATATTTATAATTTTTCTCTTAAAGCCATTGGAACTTGGAATACAACAAAATGAATGCACACTAAAATGGCGATGTTGGAAAACTGAATATTTTTCTTGTGCATGGTTGCCTGACTAATTGCAATGCTCATTGTTACCAGAGTTTGGTGCATTCTGAAGCTTTGGTCATTTTTACTAATGTGGTTGCAATAATACATGAGTACCTACTGAATTGTGATATTAAAGTTGTTTTTTGTTTTCCCATGTTGAAAACTGCTTTGATAAATTATATTTTTTAATTCAAAATTGCTAGCTGTGTGATTTTTATAGAGTGCCAAATTGAACTTAAAACAAATATGGGCTATGCTCTAATTGCCTTCTTTCCCTTATGGTGTGTAAGAAACATGGCTTAGCCTATATTAAAATCATTATCATAGTACTAGAAATATAATTATAATTTCTAGTTTCCCATCATGGAACAGTTTATAATGTTGCTAGTAGTTGAACCAGAGCTCAAGTCCTAAGTTTTGCTTGTCTGGTATATCAAGAATGATGAACAAAAATAAAGTGATAAATAATGTGAACAATTATTTAGTTACTAAGCTAAATAAGAATCATAAATATTTCACATGAAAGTTAGGTGAACAGATCAGAACAAGGTTAGACTAACATACAAAGGTTGCTGAGTACAATGCGAGATTGGTGTATGATAGTCAGTTAGCGTGTATTGTGGGAAATAATATTTATAGTTTAATCAGAAGCTGCTTGATAAGTTTGGAATTCCCTTGAAATGTTGTCCCCATGCAGTGTGAAAAAACTGTTTTCATTGGAGTTTTCTCACAAAATTTTCCCAATTTTTAGGTTGGCGGCTGGGCATCGGTGGTTTTAAGATTCAGTGGTGATTCAAGTTTGTCGAAAGTGTGGTGGTTCAGCAAAACATATCATATCTCATATCAATAAATTGAATCAGTAATCACCAATCAATAAAATATAAATTGATTTGATTAAATATAATATCTTAATCTCAGAATCTCGCAACTGCATCGAATCTCAGCACACACTCAATGGTGCTCTCAGCGCCCTCTAGCGTTAAGCGGGTCTTACCAGCGGCTATGGTATGACTGTGTAGCCCAAGCTGTTAGTTAAAGATATTGTATAAGAACTAATATTAATATGATGAACCTATTAAATTCATAGGAAATGTTATTAAATTTCTCAAATTGACACAATTTCTATGTAATTTGAACTATTTGTAATCTATGGGTAAATCTGAAGACTTATCATTGTTGTATAAAATGTAGGTGATACCAATTGATGTATAGAGTATTTGTATATCATATAAATGCCATAGAATTTGTAGATATGTTGCTAACATTTATTTATTTTCCCATTATCACCATTAAATAAAGCAACAATAATTAGCTTTGCCTTTATGAGATGTTCTAAAAATACCTAGTAATATTGTATCATGTACATTTTTAAGAGATGACAAAAAGAAATCATACTTTTTATTGGTTGAGTGCATAAATAATTATACATATCTGAATAGTTTAATCTACTTATATTAGTCATGACTGTGTTAGAAAAACAGTACTAAGCATGTTCAGGCTGCTGTATTTTATGACCTGTTACTGTGAATTATGACAACTGGATTAGTAGTTAAAGTAAGTACTTGGAGAAAATCCTGTTGACCAGAAGAGACAGCACCAAACAAACAAAAAAAAAAAGTTCTATTCTTATTTTTCTTTCAAATTTATTACATTATCATTTATTTATATTTAATTTTTCATTAAAAATGAATAATAACTAACACAGACTCTTAGAGTAATAACTAACATGTGTAATCAAGGTTACACCAAACTCAGCATGTTTGAAGACTTCCATTTTTGGCGGAAAATTGTGTAGTATGGTGTCTTATCTTTAATAGGCAAAAATTGTCGATAGGATTTTCTGCAAGTACCTTAAAGTAATACAACAGTATTAATATTTCTGTTCTGAAACTTATACATGCACTTTTTGATTTATTTAAGAAACAGATTGTCATATATTTGCATATTAAAAGTCATTCATAGTGTAGTGTTGTGCCTTTAAAATATTATTCAGCATTTTCTTTAGTGACAAAAAAGGTCTAGGATTTGTGAAAGGTGTGTTTAAAATCTAGCAGTAGTGTGATTAATGCTCAAATTTGATAGGAACTGCCGTGTGAAATTTTTGAAGATACCTGCTTTCTGACTAATTGCTATTATTAAAAATAGATGTTTATGTTCATCCACAATAGCTATTCTGATAGTTCCTTTTAAAATATGAATTTCAGCTGCCATTTCTGTTTGTTATTGATAATTAAAAAGTATAGAACATACAAAATGTGCACAAATCCTAGCAGTAGTATGATGAACCTTAGAATTTGATAGGAAAGGCCGTCTGAATTTTATGAAGACAGCTGCTTTCTGACTAATTGCTAGTATTAGCGCATTTTTTTCTGTGACATTTATACATATTTAAATCCTGTTATTTGATCAAAATCAGCTTGACAAAATTTACTTAATTTATAGATTGTAACTTTTGCTAGCATATATAGTTGTATGTTTGTTATTCCTAAAAGACATTATTTAAAAAATAATTCATGCGATTGAAGGACCTTAATGTGTTATAAATTAAAATTGTGAGAAATCTATTACTGGTTGTATTGCATTTAAGGTGCTGCTTTATAGTCTTCGTATTTGAATCAGACAGTGGATCAGCTCCGTTAGTAGTCCAAAGGCTGTAGTCAACTATTTTAGTTTTGCTGTGCTCTTAATTTATTATATTCAACTATATTACAGTCCTTCATAATGTCGACTAAGAGATTAAGATTGCAGAAAGTCGTTGCATTTAAGGTGCTGCTTTATGGTCTTCACATTTGAATCAGACAGTGGATCAGCTCTGTTAGTAGTCCAAACGCTGTAGTCAACTATTTTAGTTTTGCTGTGCTCTTAATTTATTATACTCAACTATATTACAGTTCTTCATAATGTCGACTAAGAGATTAAGATTGCAGAAAGTCGTCCAAATACTAGTAACTGCAGATATAAATCATAAATGAAGTGAAATGTTTGCAGAAGTATTCTGTGATTGCTGTAGGAATATTAATTCGTGATTTGAAGACATGAAACTAAAACACAGTTTTAAAACTTTCCCCCTCAAAAAAGAAAGCTTGAAAATTTTTAGAATTTGTTTCAGAAATATTGATGAGTGTATCCCTTTCTTTTTAAAACTTTTTGTCTGTATCTAATAACAGAGCAGTACATATGTAGAGGAAGCTAGATATTTTAAGGGTTTGACTTGTTTTCTGCTATTTTCTGTGGTTTGATAGCCGGTGCTCACAAGTAAACTTTCTTCCATTTGATGCCAGTTTTCTGGAAAATCATGTATTTTCTGAAAGCTTATATCACAAGTAGAAAAACTGTGAAGTTTTAGGGGTAGAGAGACAAGCGTTTAGGAACTATAGGACCCATAAAGTATCATTAAAGTGTGTATAGATGGACATATTCCCATAATGATGTCTCTATTTCTTACATGTTCATGCATTTTCTGCTTCTGAAGTACCTGATGAAAGAAATCCTACAAAAAGAACTGGTACCTGAAGGATGTACGGGAAAGATCCAGCTTTTGGGTATTCATTTCTTCAGATACTACAAATCTTTTGTTTGTAACATAATGAGCTCAGTCATTATCAAGACACAGGAGCACATTTGGCATTGCGATAGTTTTCTGGTCCTGCAGACTTTTTACTAATGATGAGCACTGAATTGATATATATTTTTATATATCAATTCAGTGCTCATTATTTCAAAAACTTG